GCCGGGGTCCACATCCCCTGAATGTTTATCCCTGAAATCAGAGCAGCACAAAAAGCTTATCAACCTTCTTGACTCTTTACAACCAGATTAACAAGGCTGAGTCTCAGTAAGTGCTACGTATTTGTTTTACAGTTTAGTCTGAAGGGTTCTGTTAAAACTGGGGATTACTGGGTTCAGGGCATACCCTCTGCCCAGAAGAGAGGTTGATAGTTTTATCACTGTCAGCTGTAATGTTGGAGATAAATTTCCCAGATCTCTGGGAGCTACTGAACTCTTCTTTATGTTTTAATAGCAGGACGGAAAAACAGGTATTAGACTTTCCCCTTCTTGACCTCCCTTTCTCCTCTTTAGGTGAGTTGTTGCCTATGATATTCCTGTTCTGGCTTCTCATAATATGAATTGAGAAAGAAAGTGCTGATAGCACATCTCCCCCTGGAGATACCAACATTAGGGAGATAATCCAGAAGAAAAACAGTTTGCCCAGCAAACAAGGCAGACGTTTTGGAAAGAGGCAGTTCAAAGGTGTGACTTCTCTTAATGTCCAGTAGTCCTAATGGTTTTTGTTTCTCTTTATTATAGCAGTTCCATGTAATCACCCACATGCTGGCTATCCCCAATGGTATTTGCATTCTCAAGCCATGAAGATGCTCTTGATTCTTAATTTATTGCCTATGTTCAGTGCATATGGAGCCTGTAAAAGGTGCCTTTGGGGAGTTCAACTATTGGTTACCACTGCTGTTTATATACAGGTAAAGGAACATGACTGAAAGCATAATCCTATCATCTAACCTAGCATTTATGCTAGCAGTTATATTAATTCACAGTTAAGGTTCCCTCTATGTATTTGGTACCAAAAGGTTGGGGCCAAATCTCACTGATGACCATGCTATGAGAATATACAGCTGTTTAGGGTATTGCATAGCAAGAGAAGAAACAGGCTAGAGCCTTTCCCAGTTTCCCTCCTAGCAGTGTGAAGCTAACAATTCCCCTTGTTTCTATGTCTTCTGTATGACAGTTTCCAAAGCTTAGTTGAGTTTATATGTATTTGGGGGTGCTTGAACTGTTCAGGTGATTTTGCCTTCCCCATGTGAAGTTCAGCAGCACAGAAGTAAAAATTAGGTAAATGAATAGAAAGAAGGAAGAAAGGATTGATGGTGTAGATTAAATCCAAAAATAAACTGTAACTGTCATTGAGGTAAACACATTTCCAATAAAGCACATTTTTAACTGTGCTATTATTCAAATTGCTGATGAAGACAACATATTTCATATAGTAGAAGGTAGATGTTCTTACACACTTAGCTGATTCTTGCTGTAAGTAACAGAGCATAATTGCTAGTTTTCTCTGTCATATTATTAGGTGATGTGACATTTCACTGAGCATTGCTCTCATAGGTATAATTTCACCCAGCAAGTATTTTTGTACTTTCCAGACAGGCTGTAATACTATGGAGTAACTCTGTTGTAGTTTGATTTTGGCTAACCTCTGAGCAGCCAAAATGTTCTCTTCACAATGGGAAATTACACTCTCAGTCTCTGTGTCAATATAATTATATGCTGCTGAAAGGGATTTCTTGGTGTTTTGAAAAGTAGCAAAGTTTTTCAGTGTTATACTCAAGAAAAGGATAGCCTCCTTTCACATCTGTTATTGCTGCTGCAGATTAGTGTGCCTGGCCAATGTGTGGAAACAGAGCAGCTAGTATATACTTATCCCAGGAGGCAAAATTTGTCCTTCCTCCCTTTCTCAGCTTTTAAGAACACCTCAGGAAGAAGCTGTAGCTTCTACTCGTTCCTCAGCTTCCCCAAATAATTTTATCATATGGGACCAGGTTTTTGAAATGCAGCATATTCAGAAAAGCACAACTAGACAATGCTCTTAAGTTATAAAGTCATTGAAGTCATACAACAGTGGACCACTAATATAAGATCCTTATGCACTACTCACATCTTTTCAGTTGCAACACTAAGGGTCTCATTGGGATTTTGCTGTCCTGTGCATCAGTCATGCATCAGTGTTGTGCACGGCTGCTTGCCTACTCTCCCCAAGTGGGAAGGGGAGGAGCATTGGAAAGGTAAAAGTGCAAGAACTCGTGGATGGTAATTAAGAGAGTATTCTAAGTAAAGCAGAAGATATGTGCTCAAGGAAAGCAAAACCAGAAAATCATTCACTCCTTCCCATTAGCAGACAGATGTTCAGCACTTTGAGGAAAGCAGGACTCATCACATGAAACCACTTCTTGGGAAGACAAATGCTATCAACTCTGAGTGTTCCCTGCTTTTTCTTTCTTTTCTCCAGCTTTTATTGCTGGTATATTATATTTCTTTGGTCAGTTTGGGCCACCTGTCCTGCTTCTGTCCTCTCCCACCACCTTGTGCCCCCTGCTCCTTGCTTTCAGAGCAGTGTGAGGAGCTGAAAAGTTCATGGGTATACTCTGCAATAACTAATCCCTGTGTTATCACCTCAAGAATCTAAAATATGGCATCATTCAGACCTGTATTCCAGCCAACATCATGACAATCAGTCATTATGGTGTCGTATTAAGTACACAATGGGGTGTATTCATGCTCTCCAGCTTTCAATATCTGATTTGAGGTTGAACTGGATGACCCTATAAAAGACCCTTCCAATACAAATAATTCTGTTTCTGTGATTTAAGGTGATTACTTTGGGAGCTAATACCATTATTCTCCTTCACAATGTATCAATTATATATCAAGTTTCTGCTCTGCATTCATTTGTGCTCTCTGAATTCATGTTTCTAAATGGAACCAAAGTTGCACATGCATTGTAAGATGAGGTGCAGATATTTTAATTTTAATATTTTATACAAGATTTTTTAAGGGGGTGTCTTCTGTGGTCACTTTGGCAGTTGACAAAATCCATCTAGAGTATTTACCTAGAAAACGTGTTGATTCATGTGGTGACGTGAGATCCTGAGGTGAAAATGGGGTTTGACAAAGAATGAAGTGACAGATGTTGAGTAAGTGGAAGGACTGCTCATGAATAGTGCATGTATTTGAGTATATTAGGTAGATTCCTGTTGATATCAGGAGCTTGGTAATGAATGCAAACTCTTCCTGGTACCCAAGCACTTCATAATAATTCATTTAATTTTCCTTTTAAACTTTTCTGTGTATGAGAGATGATACTTTTGTTGTGAAAAAAATTACGGAAAAGATCAGATTCTGACATCTCAGCTAACTGAACTTAGTCAAAATCAGATAAAATATGATGTAAACTTGATTTGCTTGTGATATTTTACTTGTTTCACTCATTTAAGTCAACAGGAATTACATAAATTTTTTCTGGACATGTTTCAGTAAAAAAAACAAAGGAAAAATTATATATCAGACTTGCACATCTGCATGACAAATCACATCAACAGTCACATAAAACTTACTTAATTATAATATCCTTCTAAAAAAGAAAATCATTTTTGATGAGAAGTAGAAATGAGGAGAAAAATCACTTCTCTGACTTTCAGATATTTACATGATTTATCTTGTAACCTCCTAGTGTATTACTAACAACCGCAGAAGTATTAATGATTCAGTATCTATTACATGTCAGGGAAGGATAGATTATTTTTACAAGGAGGCTGAGTCACAGAATACATGACTTACTCAAAGTAACACAGCAAGTAAACTTTTGAGCTGAGAAACAACCAAACTTCTGCTTTAACTCTAGTTCTTCAGGCATCCTTTCTCTGCCTTTTCTTCCTCTTTTTTCTCACTTAGGACATTTTCCCTATTTTACCACTACTTGAGGTCAACCCCAAAGGGAGACACATCTGCTGCATCCATGTGACTGGGGGACATGGTTTAGTGGGCATGATTGGACTAGATCATCTAAGTGATCTTTTCCAGCCTTAATGATTCTATGATCGTACCCCCATGGGTATGCTCCAAGACTTGGCTTATCCTTTCCTTGCACCAGTGAAATTCTCCTGTTCGTCTGGAGGAAATTTTTTTATTGCAGAGAAGTAGGTGAGCTCTGTCCTTTGGTGATAATGCCAACCTCAATTAGAAATGCCTTGTGTGTTCTTCTTTTCTGGCTTAGAGACAGTGAATCTTTTATATTCATCCATGTACCAGGGTTCTTAATTATTTTCTTTCTTTATGCAGAAGACAGTGCAGGAAGCACAAAGGACACATCTTGGCTTGGTTGGGGAGGGATGAAGCTTCGTACTGTATGTGGTAACACCCTTGGCTGAATATCAGTACTGTCAGTTCTCTGATGCTCTTTGGGAAGCACCCAGATGTGACTGCGGAGTGGAATAGAGGCCAAAAGATGCCTGAAACCAACCCTCCTCTATGGAGGGAAGGCTACATGCAGACTATGAGGCTGAATCTGAATATGCAAGGAAATAATTGAGAGAATTTGAATTTTCTGCAATACTGGGGAGTGTGGTCACTGCTTAGAAAGGCATTCTGCCCATTGTTGTACATACTTAAGAGGCTGGGTTCCATTCAGCTTATATTCAGCTCACTATATTTATCAAGTTTTATTTTACAAACCATAGAAACTTCTCAATTAATTGTCAAGTGTTTAGATTGATTTTGGTGTGATTTCAAAGCAATGCAATCTTCTTTGCTTGAAAATAACAAATTTATGTTAGAAGTGGGAGAAATGTTGAACATTAAACATCATTTCCTTCTCGCTATGTTAGGGCTAGGAATTGTTCTTCATGATTTTTCACGTACCTCCAGAGATGAGTCTGCTTGGATAACCAGTCAGTTTTCCAAACTGTTGGGTTTTTTTTTTGTTTTTTTTTTCAAGAGCAAAATCTGGACTGGAAAGTGCAGTATCTACAAACTGGACAGACATTACACTTATCAGAGACCACTAGAATTACACATCCAGTAACTGATGCCTTATATCTAGCCCTTGTGTTTTCCATGCTGATGATATATCAGTCTGGGGGTAAAAGATTTTGGAAAGTCTCAGCAAGTCATTTTTTCCTTAGTGTATAAGATTTGTTTTTCTGTTCAACACACAGGGTAAGAAGGGAGAACCTGGATTCCCAGGAATTAATGGTCTGATTGGCCCTCAGGTAAGTGACAATTTCTTCATTTTCAAGTAATATTTAGCAAAGATGTATTTTATGGCAAAAGGTGACTTGGAACTTGCACCATGCCATGACCTTGTTCTCTTCTCATCTGTACAGTCTTTGAAGCTGGCTTTTCTCCTTTAAGATCCAAACTGATTTGTCCTGATGTGAGTGAGAGAGAAAAGTCTGGTGTCAATTTAGCTTCCAGAGTTTTTCAGCATCTTTGTGTGGAGACATAAGGATCTGTTTTGCATGTGACTTTCCCATTGCTTTTGCACAGAGCAGTGTAATTCCAGAGGGCAAGCAAGATTTGTGTTTTGTGATATTTAGGACAGTGCCTGAGCTATTGGCAGTGTGAACTGGTAACTACAGATATGCCTCCTGTACTGCAGTCTTAAGGGAAGAAACAGTTTTAAAGGTGTTTGCTGTTCAGAAAGCACACTTATTTGTGCACAACTTCCTTTTCATTGCTTTGAAAGTCATATTTCTGCTTCTTAGAGGAGGTCAGGCAGTGGCTTACTAGGAAAGGCAGACACAGCAGTTTAAAACCATTGCTTATTCTCCTGATGAGTAAGGTTGTGAGCGATGTCTGAAGTTCATGACCCATTAGCTCTCTTTTGGCATGGTAATGCTCCAAGTTGCAGCATTTGTAGTTTCACAAGCACAAAATAGTGCTATGCACTGTGTACGTAACGTCAAAGTGGATTTGACTCCAGTTTGGAAAAGCTTGTGCTATTATGTACTGTAATAGCACTGACACTTGCCTCTGGCTTGTGTTCTTGCTAACTTTGTAGCCAAATTCAGTTGACCCAACTCACAGTGTAGGGTCATTCCCCGTAATAAGAGAAATATCTTTGGGGATGTCCTCAAGCAGGGAAGATGCACTAACCACTCAGGTGAAAACTGAGTATCTCATTCCTTCCTTTTTCAATAATAAGCTAACGAACTAGGGATTTTGTTACAATAATCAGTTAAGTTTGGAGCAAAAATAAAAAACCTTCTCTGCTGCTACAGCTGTTGGTAGGATATTGCAATAAATGGCACTCTAGTCGATAGCAGGTACTAATTTATTTCCTCTGCCAAGCTATGCCCTTGTAACCATGAATGTAATCTAGACACGAATTCTGTAGCAGACATTTTGTAATGAGCCATGTTTGCTGAGGCTACCAGCAATACAATCTGGGGCTTTCTGATCCTGTGAGGGTGAGGATCCTTGTATCCAGCTGGGAACCTTGCCCTGCCACACCGCATGATAATGGTCTACATACTTTTAAGACTTCTTCCTTTGGTACTGCATTTGGTTTGCAAGTATTTCAGCAGCAGCCTCCAAGAAGAATGAAGACAGTATTTCCAACGGATTCATTTCTTATTTTTATTTCCCCTGCAGGATAACATTAAAAGATCCCCTGAAGCCATCTGAACTGTGTGTGTAGCAAATGGGAGAAGATTTTCCTTACTTTTGGGGAAGATTTGTCTCCCTTCATTAATTCTGATATACCTGACTATCCGCTTAAACAACATCTTGCACAGCTCAAGTTCTCTGTAACTTTACAAAGTTTATATATGCATGTGTTAGCAACTTCAGAAACTTGTATGGAAGAATTGCTGACACAACATTAAGCAGTTTTCCTTTCAGCATAGGCTAAATAAAGTTTTCAAATTTGAAGTTAATTAAAACTGCATAGAGTGCTAGCCCCATCAAGGGATACGTAAACTGACTCTTCCTCCCAGCTAACTGTAAAAATGGAAGAATTTTCTCCTTTTCCTGAAGTGGAACATTGTCCTGAATGTATTACTGCAGTCTTCCATATTTTTGTTTGGAGAAAGTGCTTACGTTTAACTTGTGACAAAACTACTTTTCAGCTTACCAGCATTTTTTGTGACATGAAGTTTGTAAGCACTTTATCAGCATTTCTCTCTTTCTTTTATTTTATCTTAATATCATACTATGTTCCAAGAATAACCAGGTTTCCTTAGATTGCAGTTACACATATATTCTTAAAAATGATTTATGGATGTCTTGTGTCACCTCTTCCTATGCTGTCTCCATGGTGTTGAGGGCCACCAAACTTGATTTACCCATACATAAACTTGGTTAAGACACTATAATAACCTCATTTTCTTCTGCTATTTTAAATTCAAATATAATTTTGTTTTTGTTTTTGTTTTTGTTTTTGTTTTGACCATTCTGCTCCCACTGAAAGCTCAATTGGCAGAAGAATGGAATGGAGATAGGAGCTTTAGAAGCCATGTTACTGAAAAGCACAGAAAAGAGCCACAAAAAGATGCCAGTTAATCCTGAATCCTATTCTAAATATCCATTGAAGTCTCAGGGAAGGGTGGGCCAGCCACTTCATTACTGTGAGACAGATGCTGATTTCTCAGCATCTTCAGAGTCAGCATTTTCTACTGACATGTGGTAGAAAATCCTTCCTCCTATACAGGGGTCTAGTGAAGCATAGTGATAGAATCATCATCGTACAACCACCAAGGTTGGAAAAAACCTCTAAGGTCATCCAGTCCAACTGTCTACCTATCACCAAGATTTCCCACTAAACCACATCCCTCAGTACAACAACTAAACATTTTTTGAACACCTCCAGGGACGGTGACTCTACCACCTCCATTGTTGTCCTGTTCCAGTGCCTAAACACTCCTTTGGAGAAGTTTTTCCTAATGTCTGCAGTTACTGCTGGGTTTTGTTAGGATAAATGATTCCCATCATTCCAGTCCCAGCAAGAAGCCATAGAAGGCACAGACAGCACTGCAGGGCAGCCAGCCTTAGCCTTGCATCAGGGCCAGCAGATACAGTGACAACCCACTGCAGAAGTGATGCCAGTCTGACTCTTAAGGACTGGGTGTCTTTATATTGCAGAGTAAGTAGCAAATCCTGAAGCAGCAGTTAGAAAGCAACCTCTTAGCTAGTCTGGGTATGTGCTGTGACAATTGCGTAGCCTTAGTTTTGCCTTTTTCCTTCCTTACATGCTCTACTCAAACTAAATTTTAAGATTTTTATGATTTTTTTTCCTTGTAGATCTGCTGTGGTGGTGGGCCTGTCCATGATTTTGTTTGTTCCATATTGCCCATATTAGCACCCCCAGAAATGAACATTTATTTTCTGCTAACCTTCAGAAACAGTGCATCTTGCAGCATCATTAAGCCTTGAAGTAGACACTTTGGGTCTTATTTTCCTCTCTATATATGAATGATTTTCCTGCAGCAAGGGCACAAACATCTGAGCACATCACATAATTGTGTTGTTATTATTTATTTGCACTATTTTTGTTTGTAGGAAACTTAATCATGGGTCAAACTTCTGTTACGGTAGGCTGTTCAAATGCAGACTGAAAAATGAACACTTCTGTAAAGTACTTTGAATTGAAATAGATAGAAGAGTACTACGCATGTACAACACTGAGGCTATGTTTTTCTGTGTGGCCACCTGAGATCTTGATGTACCTCATTTATCCCATTGTCTGTTGAGAGGAAGATTTCAGAGCAGAGGCTGAAGGCAGCTGCTTTTCTAGGCATGATGGGTGTCCTGTGGAGACAGAAGATTTAGGCACTATGTGCTATATATAGGTGTGCCATGAGGGCTGCATTTGCTGGCTCAGTAAAGAAGGGGGTTGATACCTCAGTACTCACTGAGGGCTTAGACACTGAATTACTATGGCAGGGCTTCACTGAATTGTAAAATCATAGAATCATGGTTGGAAAAGACCTTTAAGATCATCTAGTCCAACTGCTCACTTACCCCCAGAATTGCTCTCTAAACTGTGTCCCTAAGCAACAAATCTACACATTTCTTGACAGGAAGTAATTGATGGTGGAGGTGCATACACCCAGTCTCCTATTACAATTGACTAAGATTCAGTTGTATTAATAGACTGTTGGCAGAGTCATTCAACTTTTCTAAATCAGGTTCCACTAGGCCTCCATGAGCCGAGCAGGTGCATGCTGTCCACTAGTGGGAAAACAAAATGACTTAAAACTATTGGAAATTTAAGTAAAAATTATATACCTCACAATTGCAACATATCTGGGCCATAACTGAGGTTTGCTTTATGATAGATAACCTGGTGATAGACTTAAGACCTGTGAGGGAAACCAGCACAAGTTTTTTTTTTCTCATGGAGAGTGGAGATGCACTGGAACAGGTTGCCCAAGGAGGCTGTGGATGCCCCATCCCTGGAGGCATTCAAGGCCAGGCTGGATGTGGCTCTGGGCGGCCTGGTCTGGTGGTTGGCAACGCTGCACATAGCAGGGAGATTGAAGCCAGATGATCATTGTGTTCCTTTTCAACCCAGGTCATTCTATGATTCTATGATTTTTTGGTTGTGGCTGGCAGTGAATTAATTAGTATAGGCTCATCTGTAGGGTGTGAGCTCAGCCAGCTTTTCTTAAGTAAATCAGAGGAAATAAATTATATCCTTTGAAATGCATGGTGCTCCAAATGTCTCTTTTTATAATGCAAGCTAATACTGTGAAACATAAGAAAAAAATACTGGCCCCAGCTGCAAAGCTTAGATTGAATTCAGACTTTGTCAGTGCTGCTCGAAATTGTAGAAGATACTGCTCAGAGCTATCTTTAACAAGATATGTGCCTTTTACAAAACAAAGAGAGAAAATAGACTTTGCCGATGCAGGCCACTAATAGTTCTGAAACAAAAGACCACAAGGGAATTTTTTTTATTGTTTTCTCATTTGCCACCCTGTCACAGTGAAAGAACTGAAAGTAAACAAATATGGCAATAAATCTTAATCTGTAGACGAAAGACATGATGTCCATATCTTACAATAAATGGTGCAATTAAATAAATACTGTCTTGCTCTGAAAGCAGGAATTCTCCAACAGAGACTGCTGTGTACAGAGCCAACTTTATTCAGTACTCTTATAGTGCTAGAAAGACAATTCACAGAATTGCGCAGTGTTCAGTGCACTTTATTTTTTAAAATAATGCTAATATTCCACATATCATGTCACCTGGTGACACAACTGAAGACCTCATTCATTTATAAATTATGATACTAGCACTGAAGTTTTCTATATATCATGCATATAAGCAGATCTGTTGGCTCCTCAGGCTTACTGGTTTTCAGCATTATCAGCAACACTGGTTTCCTATATCCTCTCATCTTTGTCTTGGTTTGTAAGGAAGGAGAGCAATATGGTGCTCTGTTGCAGTACTTCTGAAGATAACTCACAGGAGCTGTGCTGGTATACATAGGTAGTGCCAGGAGTGATAAATGAAGAACAGATTTGAGGATCTGATTGCGGAGACTACTTAGGTTTAGTAGAGGAAAAATGGAGAGTTCAGGTAGCAGGGGACATAGTGAGTCACGTGGACTGTTCCTCAAAGCTAGCAGCTGTGGCAGGAGACAAGATGCTTCTAGATGTCCTGGAGGTTTTTCTCATTCATAAAGCTGGCATGCTGCCTATAAAACCCAGACCACAGTCTGTTTTTTCATGGATTTAAGGCTTATCTAAGCCTTTTTCACAATGCAAGAGGATCCAGGCACTGGCATGAAATAGTATACAGAAAATATGTCTCTACAAGCTTTTCCTCCAGAGACAGATATCTGGAAAAGCCATCAGACTCCTGTTTCCATCCTGTAATGACATTTGTTCACCTTTTAAAACATAGCCATCCCTTTTCTTATGGAAAACAGATTTGAGCCACACAACCTACTGATGTATTCACACGAAAAGGTTTTTGTTCATTTACAGAAGTTCCTTTGGGAGTACAGAGCCCACATCCTAACAGTCCTGCCTTTCCCAGCCTGTCTTTCTGCATGGTACATGCTGGAAGAAGAGAGTATCTTCTAGTAGTTCCTGGAGGACTGACACAGCTGCTCCTTCTGTACTGTGTCAGATTTCTTTCCTGAGAACTGTGTTGCTTTCTCTTAGGAATGAAGCTGGACGAAATATAATCCTAAATGTCTGTTAGGTGTCCTTCCCTGAACACATACCTCTACACACTTTCCCATGGATATCTGGATTTTAAAGAAGTTTGAAATATTTATTTGAAAATAGCTTCACTTAAGCATGTTGACAAAAGATCTGTGCTTTGTCTTCCAAACTGAGTTTGTGCAGTCCTGTTTTAGAGATCAAAGGTTTTATGTACCAGGTTTTGTTCCAGTGTGTAGGATGCACACACATCAGAGCTCTTACAAGCCACAAACAAAGCCCTCTATGACTTCTTTTCTTCTGAGTTGGAGTTTTAGAAGGACAACTCTGGAGATTGGATCAGTGTAATTCATCAAACGATCAGTGAAAAATGTGACAGAATCAGGTGCTTTTATCTGGATTCAGTGTCAAAAAGGAAGACTACAGATGGTGTGAGATTTGGGGGTTAAACATTACAGACTATCCTACTGCTGTTTGGTTGTGTTGTTTGTTTTTTTGCTGTTATTTTTTTTTATTTATAACAAATAAATACTGTCAGTTAGTTTGAACCTCTCAAATACTTGGGAGAGTAGTTCTTGCTCTGAAGTATACTCAGAAATCAGAAGGAGGACAGAAAGGGTTTTGCATACAAATCTTGCTCTGAACAAGTGTGGCAAAAAGGAGAGCTTTGAAAAGGATGATTATGTGATAGAATGTATTCCTGCAGCTTTTTCATGACCGTGATTTTTCATTTCCTCGTGTCCTAGTCACTTGGTGTAGAAGGTTACGCTGGTTGATAGATACTTGTGCAAGATTTCTCTTTTGGAGTAGATTTACCCTGTCTAGGCTGGTTATCCTACCTGGGGGATGCTTAGGCTGAAACTGGGTCCTAGCTGAAGTTTACTGTGGGATGACAGTGGCTGGTTAATTTCTGGTTAGATTCCACTGTTGCACGAATGAGAAAGCTGTTAATTCATAAAGCTCACAAAGAAGTCGAAAGAATCACTATTAAATATTTTGCACTTTATCTTTCCTTTACTTACATATAGTCCACTTTCCTGCTGAATCAGTTTCTTGTTGTTTATCTAAAGCTGTCTTTGAATTCTTTCCTAGTGCTGCACCCACTCTTCATTGCAACCCTTTCTTGGTTCCCATACCAACTATATCTACCACCCTTGTAGGGTTAGAGTGAGGCCAAGCGGGCCCTAACATCTGAGGCCACTCCATCCAGCTGCCCTCTGACTGTATGCACAGTGTGACATTTTTTCTTGTACTGGATGGTGATTCTTGTTTTGAATGGTGAAGCCTCTTCTAAATGATGAATGGGGTCATCCAGTTGCCTCTGACAGGATTGGAATGGCATCTGAAACCTCATCCTCTAAACCAGAAACTAAGTTCCCCGGAAGTTATGTCAGCAGTGTCAGTAGATACCAAGGCATATCTTCCTGCAGATGTTTGAACTGTGCTTGCACTTGAGATGCTCTACAAATACTAACATTATTTGTGGAATGATTCTATGTCTGTTCTGGACTGGGTTGCAATGGAAACAGATTATGGGTGATATATAAGCCAAGTGCATCTGCTAGTTCACTTTTTAGTTGTTTTGCACCATCTATTGGTGAGATGGTACTACTTGTTCTGGCTGATTTTTACAAGCGTATTTTAAAATGACAGCTTATCCACGATCTCCTCTATCAAATTTTGACACCAAAATTTTCTTGTTCATTCTTGTTTACGCCACTTTATTCTCCAGCTACATTTTTTCTTAAATGTTAAATGTTAATATTGGTCCATAACTGATAATCACAGAAAGATGTAATTTTTGTTATTGGATTGTAACACAGCTCTAGCAAAGAAGAAGCTGACTGACCATTTTCTATCTTGTACTGATTGCTCACTTTCAATTTTTTGCATAGGTTGGTGTATGTAATAGAATCACAGAATGGCTTAGGTTAAAAGGGACCTTAAAAATAGTCCAGTTCCAACTCACTTGCCTTGGACAGGGTTGCCTACCACCATTTCAGGCTGCCCAGGACCCCATCCAACCTGGCCTTGAACACCTCCAGGGATGGGGCATCATCCACAGCTTCTCTGGGTAGCCTGTGCCAGGGCCTCACTGCCCTCTGAGTGAAAAATGTCCTCCTGATATGTTTTTCTTTGGTTGGTTTTGGATTTATTGTTCTTTTTGTTTGTTTGTTTGTTTGTTTGTTTGTTTCTGTGTTTTTGGAGTGCAAACATCAGAACTCCTTCTATTCTGGAAACTGAAAATAACTTAAACCATGGTATTAGAAAGTCTGAAGGAGACAGATGAGGTTAAAGTTTCAATTCTGTTGTGTATCCATTTCTCTTTCATCCTTATGCTATATGTTTAGGTCCTGATTCAAAAAAACACATGAACAAATGATTCATTTTAAGTAAAGGAGAAAATCTTTCTTGTCAGCAAAGCTGAAGGTAACAAATACCTCTATATCTCAAGCAGCGATGTATCAAGTATGGAAAAAAATCTCTTCAGCCAGGAACTCACTTTTAACAATTTACCAAAGCATAGAAATAAATCCCTCTGAAAACTGGATATCTATTCAGATGATATTTTCCCAAGAGAAATAGTTGTTGCAAGGGCATGAGTAAGACTTGTAGAGTATTTGAAGCTGAATGTATACATTGAAGTATGAGCTTGTGAGGACATTTCACTCTCAACAGAGTTAAGACAGAGCACTAAAATGGTGGGGTATTTCTTTTAAAATACCTGATTTACTATATCCTCTGTACCATTAATTAAGATTAAAGTAGGCTGGATGCTCTGTCTTGAATGGCTTCCATCTCTTGCAGTGTAGCCCAGGATGGAGCTCAACTTGTAGCAACAGTAACTACTGGTTTAAGCAGGAGATCCTGTTCTGCTCTTGAGCACGGTTCCCTGGGAGCTCAGTTTGGCATCTTGCAGGTTTAGGAGGAGAGAAGTTAATAAAATGAAGCTGACGCTGTTTGGAACAGAGCCCCAGATGCGCACAGGAATGGCCTGAGGCTTTCTACCACTATCATGGTTATTAATGAACTGTTTTTTGCTTCTCTTACAGGGACCTCCAGGGCCCCCAGGCATTGCTGGACCCCCTGGACCACCTGGAGCACCAGTAAGGAAATAGGCTTGGTTTTGTTGTTGTTTAGTTTACATCAAAGAGATAAAATAAAATAAAAATAAATAAATAAATACATAAACACTTCAGGAGAATGTTAGATTTAGACTTTGAATTTCAGTGGGAACTGAGTCAGTGCCTCTGGCAATGTATGCTTTCTGTTGTATTTTCACCATGAAAAGCCCCATCTGGCCCTGCAGGACAACTGCACCGGGTACTGGAACCATGTTAGCTCTACCAGCAAATGAGTCAATATCTGCAGGATGCCTCATGGCAGAGACCTGACTACTCTGGGAGGGACAATTGTATTTGAATTGAAAGCAGCCTGTAAAGGGCAGAAATATTAATGCTTTTTTGTATCTGCTGGATTCTTTTTTCAGGGACTGCCAGGAGAAATTGGTGTTGCTGGTAAAAGTGGACTGCCAGGACCAGCTGTAAGTTTTGAGAGACAGCTTGCATTGCCTCCCTTCTCTCTGTGACCGTACATGTTTTACTCCTAAACTCTTTACTTCTTTTCCTGCAGCTTGTCTGCACACGTAGCTTTAGTACTGGCTCCAATACTGTTTCCTTTAGTACAGGCATTAGACTGATGCCTTTTGGCATACCAGAAGTAGCCGTACTATTCCTGCACACTGGGACTATGATGATTTATACAGTACCTTTCAAAACTTGGTTTGCATTTGGTAAAATATGACTCATCCAAACTGAAATTTCTTAAATCAGGCCTTAAAATTACAATTATAATACTTATAATTGTAATTATAGGAGAGCATTGCAATTTCTATTGGCTCTTAAGTCAGGAAAGGTGCATTATGAAATATTTAGTATTGAGAAGTGCCACTTTATGCCTGCAGTGTTTAGAGACTAACTGATGCCTGAAAAGAGGACAAAACTTTTTCTCACCATTTAAATGTATTGCAAGAAGTCATTTTAATTCTTATTTTGCTGAATCTTTCTGTCTCTCTATGCTGTGTAATGCCAGCCTGTATATGCATATGTATATGTATATATATATATATATATATATATATATAAGAAATTACTGATATTTAAAAAGTGAAAGATGTTTTTGAAAAGCTACAGCTACAGGTAATAGAGATTTACAGAGAACGCTATTTCTGAAGTTAAGACTCCACTCTTCATAAAAAACTTCTACTTTGTTGTTTGTCTGTAACAACACTGACATCATGTGGTCAGTCACTAAAACTGTCATACTGAATACAGCCAAGCAGATACATGCATTGCCAGAAACTGTGGGTAATTAGAGTTTCAGTAGTGAAAAAAGCAGAAGGTACATGAGGTGTTTTAACAAATCTTAAACTTAGGTTAGTGGCAAGAGGGATGAACTCAGCATTTTTTTTCTGATCTTGCTGTTAGGAATTTAAGGAGCAGGCTCTAAGAGCTGGTAATTTTCTCTCTTGTTTAGGGCTCACCTGGCAAAGATGGATTAAATGGTCTACCTGGGCTTCCAGGTCAAAAGGTAAGTGTCACCACATACACCAGCACAACCAGCTTGCCCAGGCAGCTTTTCTGGGCGAGCTAGAAAGTGTAAGCTGAAAGGGAAGCAGATCTCCAGGGTCAGATATACCTCACCTTTTTCCAGCCCTGAGCTCCAGGGTCAAGCCAGCTGATGTCATTGTTCTGTACTGAGTCCCTGTGAAGACTGAGCTGGATTAAAATACAGCAGAGACCTCTTCCAGTCTTCAGCTACTGTGTTTTATTCAGCAGACACAACTGAGTATAGCAGACAGAGAAGCTTCTATTGTCACAGTGGGAAGCCAAGGAGGCTGGCAAGTCAGGGCACATGTCCAAGGCACAAAGAACAATGGAGTGTATCAGGCCCCAAATACATTTGTTTTTCCTCTTTGAAGAGCTGGAAAGAAAATAGACCACTAGGTCTTCTGTGGGGCCGTGTGAAAGAGAGGCGGCTCTTGGTTCCTTCCTACCTCTTGTGCCCTGTTTGTAAGTTCATATGAATGACAGATTTAGGAAAGTCAATTTATTCTGCTGATCTGTTATCTCTGCAGTTGGAAAATGGAGATTTTGAGCAGGAGAAACTCTTGCTGAGTTCCTATAGTCACGCAAATAAGTGACAAAGGAATGAACTATATTTTATCTATAAAAGTCAATCTAGGAAATCATAGAATCAAAAATGGCTTGGGTTGGAAGGGACCTTGAAGCTCATCCAGTTCCAACCCCCAGCTGTGGGTCGAGCTGCCGCTCATCAGATGAGGTTGTGCAGGGCCCCATCCAACCTGCCCTTGAACACAGCAAGGGGTGGGGCATCTGCAGCCTTGTTGGCCAGTCTGGGCCAGTGTGTCATCACTGTCTGAGTTAAAATTTCCACCCTAACATCTAATCTAACCTGATTATAATTTCCCTTTAAGTACAAGAAGGCTGCAGTGTGGTGTTGCCCGAGCCTTACCTGCCTCAGCCTTTCTTCTTAGGAGAGGTGCTCCAGCCCTCTGATCATCTTTGTGGCCCTCCTCTGGACCCACTCCAACAGCTCCAAACAATTGCACTAGATTGGAATATGTACTTAACTATAACCTGCCTCAAGTCCAAGGCAGCAGCACTGCATCAGCAATGATCTTCTCAGCTCTGGTGCTTGGCTATCATTACTCCTAATTTTTCCAGGAACCCACCATATTTATACTTGAAACCCAATTCCTCAGCCTGAGTGTACTGATGAAGTGAGGAATTTGGATAATATAACAAATTACCGATCTCTGTGAAGTATTGACTGCACTTCTGAGTGCAGTCTGAAATATACACACAGCATATTTCTGTTCTTAATCCACCAGTTTCTGCTCACTGTCCTGACACTACCCAAAATGACAGATCAAATTCAAAAAGTCCCAATGGCCAAAGCTCCAATTCCACAGTTATCTATTTCTATTCTTAATGGAAAATGTAGACCTTCTCACCACATACAGTTTGAAGAAACTGAATAGATATTTTGTTTTTCAGGTAATTTGGTATGGATATCTTTAAAGTAACAGTGGTTAACTTTGTGTTATTCTAGAGACATTCTAGTTGGGTGATTATTGTTGGAGATGTGTCCACAAATAGTACTGAAGTGGTTAAAACTTTACAGGAAAGATACTCTCATGTGGCTCCATTTACATCCTCAGTCTGATGCTGGGGATCTGAGTCAAAATATTCCTCATCATTGTTTCACTGCAAGGTATATATTAATTTCTCATGTTCCCTGCAGGGAGAACAAGGAGAAAAGGGTGAGGAAGGCTTTCCTGGAAAAGCTGGCCCTAAGGTAAAGAATTTTGTTTCTAAGTTTGCTGCAGCCACTGAATCATTCAAGGTGTGATTTTAGAAGGCCTTGTACTGAAGTCAGGAGCGTAAGGATCCTCTAAGGCTGGAAATATAAGAGGATGGGCAGATGTGACTCAGTGCCTTCACTGTTCATTGCATTCCAAGATACAAAACCCTGTTTGATGCTCCTTTCTCTTGTCTATATGTATAGGAAGATGTGACCTGGACCTTGCATTGGGTCTCTGTGGCCAGGGGTCCCAAGCCATCAAAGAAGACAATTTCAGTGCCTTACAGAAAATGGATAGAATAACATGAACTAGGACAGTAGAAGACACGATTTACTAAAGAGGAAGCATTCTTGCAAAAAAAGTTGGGTCCTTGCAGTGCTAACTTTGTGCTTTTGCTTTTCTAGGGTGAACCAGGAAGCCGTGGCCAACCTGGTGAACAGGTGAGCAGAAAAAATGGTGCTAGCAACAACACCTGCCTGTCAGAGCAATGCAAAGTGATCCCATGCAGTAACAAAGCCATTTGCCAATAACTTCTTTTGCCGAGGAAAGTGCAAGTCAGCAGATAAAGCTCATGGTTGCACAAAGTAAGGTTCCAGATCAAATATGCAAATATTTTGTTTATATCTCAGAAAATTCAGTCATCTTGTTTCTGATAGATAAGGAAGAAAAGGAAGGCAGAGTTGCATAAAAGTGATTGTTTTTCCTTCACTTCACACTAAACCAGTGTGCTGGTGGTGGTTCTGGATGTTGATGAACTTTTTTATGTGATGCAAAGGGCGATGCAGTCATTTCTGGATCATAAATGCATGCTAGGAAATAAACCTACGTAACTTCAGAAATTACACAGTTATCTTAATAATTACGTAGTAAGATTTAAGTTTCAGCAAATAACAGCAAGGAAGCAGGGAAACATCCTGGGATTTCCTAATGCACACAGCTGTCTGGAGTCCAGTGTGGAGCACTAACCAGCTATTTTCATGTTGTCGTCCGCACACCAACTTTTCAACTCAGTAATAAAATCTGTAGAAAGAGATATCTATGTAAGATAGTCTTCTGTCTTTGGCATACGTCTTTGGATACTGGGTTACAGAGTTTAAGTCAGCAATGGAAGAGTCTCAGATCCTCAGTCATCTCTCACTTCTACCATTCTAAATCCAGACTTCTATAAAGATGAAGGAAAAGAATGGTCCCGTGCTCCAATGTTGTTGTTTGTAATGAAACTGAACACACACTATCTATGCAACCAGCTGGAGTAGGAGCACAGGAAGAAAGAGAAGTTTCACACAGAAGACTTCTATGAATTTTGCTAGTTTCTCCTTGCCAAAACAATTTTAGGAACTGCTCATAATTTTTCCATATTGAATAGAGCTTTTTAGAATTTTAAGCCCACTTTCTAAAACACCTCTCTCTCTATAGGGTGATATTCTCCACACATTATATCAGTGTTCTCTTTTCTACCATCTCACTTATAAATTAAAATATTGAATAGTAAGTATAGACCATTAGAAGGCTTCATCTCTTTCTGAATCTGAAAGGTAACGGCTAGATGTGTGAATGTAGGTTTTTGTTTTTTTTTGTTTTTAATCAGTTCTGCACCACCCTCCAGAGAGCCTTCTTGTTCACTGTGTTTCTGTACTTTGCTAATGAGCGCATCATGTTGTCTTGTGTCAGACATCTTACTAATGTCAAGATACATCACAAAAATGTGATGTCTGTTTAGTCTTCTTGTCTGCTTAGTTATCCCATCAAGGGAAGAAATTGGGTGGATTTGATGTGATGAGTTTTTAACAGATCCATATTGGCACCTTTATCTTCCCTTCCTGTCTTTGAGCTCATAGAATCATAGAATCCTTAGAGTTGGAAGGGGCCTTTAAAGGCCGTGTAGTCCAACTCCCCTGCAATGAACATGGACATGCACAGCTAGATCGGGTTGCCCAGGGCCTTATCAAGCTTGCCTTGAAAGTCTCCAGGGATGGGGCATCAGTGATATCTTTGGGCAACCTGTGCCAGTGCCTCACCAACCTCACTGTAAAAGACTTTTTCCTTAAATCCAATCTAAATGTACCCTCTTTACACTTGAAGACATTTCCCTTTGTTCTATCACCACAGACTTTGATAAAGAGTCTGTCCCCTTCTTTCCTGTAGCTCCTCTTTAGATACTGAAAGGCTGCTATCAGGTCACCTCTTCTCCAGGCTGAACAGCCCCAGCTCTCTCAGCCTGTCCTCGTAGGAGAGATGTTCCATCCCTTGGATAATTTTTGTGGCCTTCATCTGAACACACTCCAGCAGGTCCACGTCACTCCTGTATTGAGTACTCCACATTAGGATGCAGGTGAGGTCTCACCAGCGCAGAGTAGAGGGGCAGGATCATATCCCTCAACCTGCAGGCCATGTTTCTTTTGATAAAGCCCAGGACACAGTTGGCCTTCTAGGCTGCAAGGGCACATTGCTTGCTCATATCCAGCTCTGCATCCACCAGTACCCCCAGGACTTTTTCAGCAGGACTGCACCCAATCCTTTCATCCTCCAGCTTTTATTGGTTATGAGGGTTGCCTCAACCTACGTGCAACATCTTGCACTTGGATTTGTTGAATTTCATGAGGTTCACCTGGGCTCACTGTTCAAGTCTGTCTAGGTCCCTTTGGATGACATCCTGTGCCTCAGGTGTATCACCTGCACCCCACAGCTTGGTGTCATCAGCAAACTTGCTGAGGGTGCACTCAACCCCACTGTCAATGTCATTAAAGAGTGTCAGTCCCAGTACTGAGCCCTGGGGGACACCACTCGTCACCAACTCATCCTGCTTATTTCCCAGGCTCTGTGCATTGGTATAAAGGCACTTCAGCTGGGCTTTTCATCTCACCGCCTTTATATAGGATCTAGGATTCCCTAGAACGGCAGCATCTCCAGCATCTCCGTGCCCTAATCGATCCCTGTGTACTCCACTGTCTTTGCCCATTAATTTTGGTGCAAGCCCTCAAAAAACCTTCTCAACCCCAGCGGCCCTTGTTGTGTTCCCTTCCCCCTTCATACATAGTTTAAAACCTTTCAGTGAGTCCCACCAGTTTCTCAGCTAAGATCCTTGTCTAAGATCTTCTTCCCCCTCAGAGACAGGCTACTTCCATCTGCAGCCATCATGCCAGGTGCAGAGTAAATCACCCCTCCAGATCCTTCTTTTTTCCCTCTTTAGCTTTATGCCCTATGTTCATCTTTCTTACAATCTCTGGGATCTCATCATCACTGAGGATACTGCATTGGCTCTCAAAATCATCACTCTGTCTTGTCGCCAAACATCACCATCTTTCAAACTTCATTAAACATCATCCTGATGTTTCCAGCTATTCTTGGTTAGCAAAATATCTTTTTCCTGACCTGATTTCTCTGCATTCATTGCATCTACACCATAATAATGCTTAGACACTTGCCATAAAGGGTTAATCTTTTTAAATTCGGGATTGGCAATTCTTAGTTCATATTCATACACCACATATTGCAGTTGGGTTCTGTCCATGACTGAGATCATTTGAGATACTGCACTGCAAATGTGGGTAGCAGGGTAACGATATATGATGCACCATGTGACTATTTTCAGGTGACAATCTGGTTCAGTCTGGAGCTAAATTTGAGAATTTTAGTTATATTTATAACAAACCACGTAGCACAGAGATTACAATTACTCCAGAGAGCAGAAATTGAAAAGTGAGTGTGAAACAGAAACAAATGGAAACATGAGATGTATTGAGAAAATTCTAGACTTGCTTGTCAGGTAACATCTTTTTTATTCAGATTAATAGTATTGTGTTTGCATTGCTAGAGTATACCAGATCCTCAATGATGAAAATAACAGATTTATTTTTTTAGGTGCTCTTTTTTGTTTGCTTGCTTGGTGCTATTATGGAACAGTACAAAGAAAATATGTCCTAAATTTTATGATATCACTTACCAATACAAAGAGAAAAGAAAAAAAAAAAAGTAAAGAAAAGAGGTTTTAGCTGCTGTTTTAAGTAATGATTTTCCTAGAAAAAGAAATTATCTGATAATTAAACTAGATCCTGTTCTCTCTCTCAGCAAGCTGCATGTAGAATCAATCACACACGAAAAATAGGGCAGGTTCTGGCCTACAGTATAGCCTACATATATCATGGTGTAACTGGGTATCAGGAAGAAAACATCTGCAGACATTATGAATGCTTAACAATTCACCATCTAGTATCAGCCATTAGACAGCTAAATCAAGGATTCATCCTTCCTAGCATAAGGACACTGGCTAGATTAATATACCCTGCGAGTCAGACTTGATGTGCTTTTAATCTGACATGAATGAGTGAAAACCCACCAGTCTTCTCTTTCATTCTTAACTGCATTTGAAACTAATGAAGTTCTTTAATAGAAGCCATGCTTGATGAAAGTTCCTGGATTTCACTCACGTTCCTGGATTTCACTCATGATTTTCTCTCACTTTCAGGGTGAAGCGGGTCTTCCTGGTCTTCAAGGTTTACCTGGACTGAGAGGAGAAAAAGGAGACCAGGTGAATCTTTGAGCCATAACTTGATTTTATTTGTCCATTTGATGCCAGGAGGACTTATCTCAAGTGTCCCTAGATACTATTTTCTCTTGGTGATCTTGTTGTGATGAACAGTTGATTGACACCTAGGAAGACCACCAAGTAGCCCTTGCAAGAGGTACTTCATTGCCTCGTGACCATAGCTAACTGCAGCGGAGATGTTAATAAACTATGTCTATCTTGAACACAGAAGATTTTGACTGGTGTCATACTCCTAGTTAGGCAGTAGAAGAAGCACAGGACCCTTTAAGCCTCATTTTCAAATGTATCTACATGACTTAAGAACATTAAAAAAATAAAAACTACTAAAATCCCAAATTTCTCGTCACTAAGCGACAAGTGCTGGAGAACATTACAGATGGTTGAATTTTTATCTAATGACTTAATTCCACCCAGGTCCTGGCCAACTGCAGACCTTCACAGGCACCTACACACTGGAAAATAGTTGGACATGGCAGTAAATTTGGCTGTGGTCAAAGAGGCCATTAGTTCTGATAGCTAACTATGTGCTTGAATGTGAGCAAGAAAGATTTACAATCAACTGAAGTTTTCCTGTTTGATTTGCTGTATTACATTTACATCAAAGTGTAGGATATATATATATAGAGATAATATATTCTCTCTATGTATGAAATCATATAAATGTAGGTCAGCTATCTCCTATTTTAATACTGAATATATACATTTGTGTATGCACTTCAAGGAATATTCAGATCATCCTTATTAAGCATCTCCTATTCAGGCCACCAGGTTTCCTAGGTGATTAAAAAGGTAGGCACTAGTGAGTGGATGACTCAGAAATCTTTCAGCATAAACAAATTGGTAGAATGAGTGTCCCCTATAAGTCTTAAGTGTGTTCTGCTTCTCTTGTTCAGCTGGAACATTCTGAGCTTTGTTACTGCATCAGTCAACAAGACTTATGTGCAAATTGATTCAAGATTGGTGCTTTCCTTTCCATGAAATTGGTTACTATTATTTGGCTTTTGAAAAGACTGTGAATTTTGTGAAGCCATTTCAAATATATTATTTACCCTTTTAATTGCTTACACTTCATCCTGAAGGACAGATAAGGTCAACTGCAAGTGTTAAATGAAACTGATTAAATCAAATCGTGCATACTTACTACTTTCCTTTTCCTGTTTTTAGGGAGGAAAGGGAAAAGATGGTCTCCCAGGACTGAAAGGGGAAAGGGGAGAAAAGGTGAGTCATTAAATAAGCATGCTCCTCTTTATAGAATCACAGAATCACAGAATGGTTTCGGTTGGATGGGACCTTTAAGAATTATCTAGTTCCAACCCCCTGCTATAAGCAGGGACACCTCCCTCTAGACCAGGTTGCTCAAAGCCCCATCCAGCCTGGCCTTGAATACTTCCAAGGAGGGCACATTCACAGCCTCACTGGGCAACCTGTTCCAGTGTCTCACCACCCTCACAGTAAATAATTTCTTCCTGGTATCTAGTCTAATCCTACCTTCTTCCAGTTTAAAACTATTTCCCCTTGTCCTGTTAATACCTGCCATTACATAAGAAAAGAGAAAAGGGCTTAGAGACAAGAGATAGAGAAGATAATCTTGTGTGGATTAGCAGTTTTGGAGTCTCTGAGATAATCCTTACAAAGATGCAGCAGAAGAAACTGTGTGTGTGAGAGATACAACCATGTATTGAATAACACAAGAAATAGTAAGCTGTTGATGGAATCTAAGATCAGTTTCTTTAATAGAGAGAAGATTTTTCTTTGTTCTAGCAGTGGCTGATAGAAACAAGCCTGAAATCAAAGAACATTTCTGTGCCTGCCAACAGTGTGATAGGACAGTAAGGAACGGTCTATGCTTCTGTCATCATAACATCGCTATAGTTAAAACAGGAGGACTAGAAAGAGATGATGTTTACCAAATCTTTGCTGAAGTGAAACTGAAGCATTGATCTTGCAGATAACTATGACTTGGCATAGTTGTCTCAGACATAGGGAAATATGTGCCTCCTTATTTTTCTTCTAGGATACAGCAGCCTTCAATTAAATAGCAAATTTGACCATCTGTGGCAGTGGCACTTCTATTATGGGCGGTCAAATGACATTTCCAATAAAGCGCATGAAGTTCCTGTCTCTGGGAGGTTAACTAGTGTTTTTCATAGATGTTGGCTTTCAGTTGTCAGGGGGACTAAAGCTGTCCATGGAGCACAGCCAGAAGAAAGACCAGTGACAGCTAAGATACTTGGACTATGATTCTCATGAGATACTCCAGCAACCCTATAGATTTTGACTCAAAAATTAGGGGGAGAATTGGAATGAGGAAGTTATATTTTTGATGAAAAACACAGGATTTTTTCAATATGCAAAAGAAGATTTTTAAAGTGTATGTTGTAGGAGAGTGTCTGCTCCTTTGAGGGTACCCAGTCAAGGAACTTCTTCAGTGCAACCAGAGGTAATACGGGAGGCAGGGTTGGGAACCAAGACACTTCAGTCACACTAATGGAGAAGAACTTATAAAAATGTAGCGGTGTCTGTTCCAGCAGGGTTATGTGACTGATGATTTTGAAGCTTGACCAGAAGCATCTCCCATTCTTACTAACTGCATGTGCCACTTACAGAAAAATTAACTGAACTTTCCAACTGAGAAGATTAACAGGGCTGTGGGGAGGGAGCTACAGAGTTCAACCCCATATGGTCTCAAACCGATACAGGGGAAAGGGGGATAGGAGGAACCAAAAGGTAGAAGTGGATCGCTATGAGTGGAGTGGGTGCCAGCTATGGGAGTCAGGCTGGGGAAGTGGACACCTCCAGTCTGTGATGCTGAAATCTTCTATTACTTTCAGGCTGGATATCAGGAAAATGTCTTCTCAGAGAGTAGTAAGGTATTGGACCAGGCTGCCCAGGGAGGTGGTTGAGTCACCATCCCTGAGGGTTTTCAGGAAACTTGTAGATGTGACACTTATGGACATAGTTTAATGGACATGATGGTTGGGCTAGGCTGAGCTAAATTTTCATGGTTGTCTTTTCCAACCTTAATGATTCTATGATGTTCTCTGCCACTGGTATGGGAATGTTGTGTTCTCCCACCGTCTACTAGGATGAGACTGGTATGAGTGAGGTACGGATGAGGCTTTGCACCACTGGGTAGAGCAGAACCACGTATTACAGCCCATATACCGGGTGCTGGCTACTGGTTGACCATGTCTGTATCTTCCTCGAAGCTAGTGTGCATGGGGTGTGCATGTGCATTTGTTAGCAAACCAAGGTGGACCAATTGGCAAGTGATGGAAACCTTGGGCCTCGGCCAGCATATCAGGCAAGTGGTGAGTCCATATCGGTCCACTCAGGAGACTTGTAAATGTGGTGTGCATGGAAAGGGGAAAACGGAGGCCATGTCCTCCAGACTGGGTCCACAGGCGCTGAGGTGGACCCTAACAGCCACTTAGGAAAGACCCAGAGGTGGTGGCTTTACTTTCACCCTTTTAACAGTTTTAGCTAAAACATGCCTTCCTATCAAGAACTCTGACAGGCTTCAGCCAAAATGCAAATTAAGCTCTATGCCAATTCTACAGTTGCCCTAAGATTACATTTCATCGGACAGTGTTGTATCTTCTGAATGATAAATGTTGACTGTTATTTTCTCACCTTATATATGCATAATTGTATTCTTCTCTCTCTAGGGTGACACAGGTTCCCCTGGCCCACCAGGCACACCAGGAACAGTAAGTAAGATGTTGTGCTGCAAAAACAGCATCGTCATACTTCTGCCACATAAGTGCCTCAGAAACAAAGCTTTACAAGATCTGTGCCTCTCTGCTGAAACATTAGGACTTACTCTCAGACCATCTCTTTTGGTTCGAAAGAAGCTCTATGAAGTTGCATTGGTCTTTTGTACAATTTTTAGAGGTTAAGCACTTTTCTATTTCTTCACAAACAGCTCTTTTCTGTGCACTTGTTTCATGGTAGCACTTAAACTGAACTTCTGATATGCTTAGCAGCTGTAGGAACTGATGATGAATATCATCAGGGAGAAGATGAAGAGCATATTTGTGCTGATTTTCTAGGTGATTTAGCTTTTCCTACCTGAGACCTCGTGGTAAAACTGATTCACTAGGAGAAGATATCTATGAACAACAGCTTTACTCTTGTGGTGAGCAATTCCTCTTCTTCCAAGAAGAGCAGTGGGCTTCACTTCTCGCTGACAGTAACTTACGGGTTGGAAGAGCAGTGCTGTAGCCTTTGCTGTACACAGTGTCATGCTGTGCTGAAAGCCCAGAAAGACTCTCCTAACAGAAATTGATAGGTTTGGGGTTCAGAACTGGATCTAGAACGGAAACAAACAAACCACATGAAAACATCAACTTATTGTTTCTTAAATGAGCCTGAACAATTCCTTTCAGATGTACAAGTGTAATTACTATGGAATTAACTCCAGGCACTCAGAGAGCCTCACAGTTCCCTCCAGCAAAATCTGAGTAAGCAGTTTGGAGCAAGCACTTGGAACAGGCTTCTCACTGCAACAGAAAGGCTAATCCCTGTTACAGATCCTCTAGAAAGTGTCAAATACCCACTTTTCAGCTTTACTCACCACAGCTGGTTGCAGCTGCCTCATTCACAGATCATAAGGAGAACTTTAATCAGAATCTGTTGGAGAGAATCCAGCAGCTGTAAAGTTTCATACAGCAGTGGAGAAGGTATTATGATTTCTTCCTTGCGTTCAGCTGGGCCTCGTTCGTCTGTGACCAGGGGTACTTAATATGATCATGTGAGAAGATTGTGACTGAGAATAAACCTCTCTTGATTAAAAGCTTGGAAAATAAAGCTTATAAATACTATATCCTAAGGATAGGTGTGAAAAATATGCCTGACAGCTCAACCTTCCAGTGTTTGTAGGGAAAATGAGTTTCCATTTCATCTGTAAGGATAGCTAACAATTTCAGCACATTCTCATTTCTTTAAGGACTTCTTTTTTTTTCCCAGATTTTGTCAATTTTGATAATAGATGCTGCTTCTCTCTACTGATTACAGTCCTTTTATATTTGGCCATTCCTTCAGGATGACTAATGTCGTAAGACAACCAGTTATGTTGGGGTATCTTATAAGTGGTACAAAACAGAGAGCTCAGCCTTGGAGTTAAAAAGTTTAATGATACTGAGGATGTTACAGTGAGTTGCTCATTTATAAACCCTCTAATGGTTACATAGAATGAGTTATCTATAATGACAAGGAGAATACAAAAGTTTTTGTATTTCCAGGAAAATAGACAGTGTTTCTTTTAATGCTTTTGTTTCTTTTCCAGACAGCCTTCTTCACCCCACACCCTAGGATTCCTGTAAGTAATGTCTCTAATAAAAATGGTCTCTACCTTGTTCTCTCTAAGTCTCCAAGGTCTGTTAGAGTATCTTGGTAATTCCAATGTTATTTAAATGCTTTTATTAGGAGGTCAGTTTGGGTGTGGTTCTGTGTGACATCACCATGTTAACCAGCAGTGATGAGAAGCCCACAGCTGCCCTGATTACACCAGCATCCAAACTAACTTCTTCTGTCCACTGTTTAAATGAGGAATATATTGTAGAGTACATAATGGGAATTAACAGGCATTACTTAAGATCATACCTTTGGTATGCAGATAAGCTTGTTAAGGATCAGGAGGCTTTAGGGCATGTAAATGGCAGAAGTAGGCTGCAAATGTGGCATTAAAAAAAGAAAGTGCATGACAAGTTTTTTAGAGACGGAGGAAATGGGAACGTGAGGTAGTGCTGGAATTGGTGACAATTTCTTTGGTTCTTTCTTCACCTTAGCTCATAGATTGCTGCTATATATACAAAGGAAATAAGGCTGCAGGGGAGACCTTACCACTTTCTACAATTCTCTGAAAGGAGGATGTAGCAAGGTGGGGGTTGGCCTCTTCTCCTAGGTAACTAGTGACAGGATGAGAGATAATAGCCCTAAGTTGCACCAGAGGAAGTTCAGATTGGGTATGAGGAAAAATTTATTCTCTGAAAGAGTGGTGAGGTATTGGAACAGGTTGCCCAGGGAAGTTGATGGAGTCACAATCCCTGGAGGTGTTCAAAAAGCATGGCACTGAGGGACATGGCTAATGAGCATTGTGGTGATGGGTTGACAGTTGGACCGAATGATCTTAGTGGTTCTTTCCAACTTTAATGATTCTGTGAAATACGCAGAATAATGACAACTTACAACTACAGGTCTTTGTAGTGCTGCAGTCACAGGAGTTTTCTCTTTAGTTTTGAGTGCACTGCTCTTGTAAATGAGCTGCAAGACTGTGAAGACTAAAAGGCCTGAAGTGTGTCAGCAGGTCAGATCACTGGGATTTCTCCATGTGCAAGTTAATGGTAATGATATTCACCATTGCACAGAACTGCATATAGCATTGCAAATTTTGGGAGGAGAAAGGGAGGTTACCTTTAATTTGCAGCTTTAGAAATCAAGGTGCCAGAAGGTGGTGATATGCCTTAGGAGATTGTCATTGATTATGTTCTAGAGACTGCAGCACTAGCAGGGTGCTGAAAATTGTAATGCGATCTCCAAATTCTTGCTGCTCCTTTCCACTGATTATGTGGTGTATAAGAACAGACAGTGACTTACATAGACAGAGAAGAGAAAAACATTGTGAATAAAAGACAGCACCTCCATTACTCTGTTTTATTAGCTTAAATCAATTTTACTTAAAACACACCACAGTAATTGTCAGAAATGGGAAATTTCTAACCAAGTGACTCTGAGCTCTTCTTTGTCAATCACCACAGCTCAGTTGTGTGCTTTTGGTGCAGCTTGTGCTGTGGGCTCCGCAGAAATTTGATGACCCAGCAGAGCAGTAGAAAGGTTTCTGCCGTGTATATTCAGACCAGCGAATTCAGAGTGTTGAGTACTTCTTGGAGATGAGGTGTGTGAGAATCACAGTGAAGGTCAGGTATTATGGCTAGAAAGGAGCAAAACAGGACATGGCTCCTCACCTTGCCTTCCACCTCCCACTGCAGCTGGTTACTGCTGAGCCCCCACTGTTTCCTTTCCTCTAAATGGCACAAAAATGATGAATGCGTTAATTGAAACTACAGGACGACACTGCCAAGAGAGGAGGTCAGGAAGGCTGTGAGCACAGATCTTGCCCATCTTGGTAGCAGCTGTTAGTTGTCACCATTGCATTTCTGTTCATTGAGCTGTAGGAAAGAAGTAGGTGGCAGCTGATTAAGTCCAGCTGCCAGGGGCAGAGGTGTCTGCAATGTGCAGCATTGGTGGGAAGACTTAATGGTCTCTGTGGGCAGTTACGGATTCGGCAAATTTGGGAAGGACTTACAGGTAGGATAGGAAATCAAAGGATTGTGGCTGTGCAAAGACATCAGTCTGGAATTTTTCCAATTTTGCATTGACATGTCAATGACAAGTCAAATATTGGGGAAAATGTAGGAAAAAGTATTTTAAAAGTATTTTAAAAAATCCTCTTTTTACCTCTTGAGTTGCTTCTTCTCTTTTGCAATCTTGTTCTCCCTAATAACACATGTCCTTATTTCCTTTTATACCATCCTTATCTACAGATTTATTACCATTTGCCTGTGCCTTTTTGCTCTTCTCTTTTGCACAAAACAAATTCCAGGCACAACTGAGCAAGTTTGTGATAAAGGATCTCTTAAGTGCTTCATGCGATTGCACTATCCTTCAGGGGGCCAGTAGATGGCATCAGGGACTGCCTGATTGGAAGTTGGTCTCACCGGGTGCTGATTGTAAAGTGAAATTCCTCAAATTATTTCTTACAAAGCATAATATTTATTCATAATGCATAATAAAAACAGGCATAAGCAATATTTATGCTATTACTTTTATTTTGTCTGATAGAGAACAATTTGCAAACAGACTTTGGATTCCCAGGTGTTGCAGAAATGATCGGCAAATAGCAGATGTGAATAAAACACAGACTGATTTGCTTGTGGGTTCTGCATTTCTACTGACCATTATTCCTCGTGTGTCTGCTGGGGGAGCTTAATTTGCTGCTGTTCTTCCTGTTTTTTGATTGCATAATTGAAACACCTCATATGATAATTAATAAATAAATGATGATTGCTTTTGCCTGAATACATATGATCTTATAAGTAAGCAAATGTGGGGATGCAAGTAGCGTCAGGTTTTCTCTGGCTAGTTTTGTTATTGTGCTGTTCCATTCAACTTATAGAGAGCAGAAATATGGGCTTACTGATTATTATTATAGAGCTCAACAGAGAGCTGATGAACACCTGTCTGAAAGAACCTTTAATGAGGAAGAACAAGGATAAATTACTCCTACTAGTTATTAATGGTTGTGCATGATATAGTGAATTGGCATTGCAGGAGCGAGGGTCAGTTGCACAAATGTGTGGAATTATTGGCAGAACTAGAGATTTGGAAAAGCTGTGTAATATACATCTCAGGAAGTGCTCAAAATTCCTTCAGTCTTAAAGGTGAAATAACAATCTGTTTGTATGTAAGATGCTTTCCATGCTGTAGGATAGCTTTAGGCTTTTGGTCTCACAGAGAGACAATGCAATGCAGTGGCCCTGGTGCTTTTGCTGTTGGATGCGTCACCTGTCCTATTAATAAAGTGGAGCAGAACTGATCAAATTTGAGGACAGCAAATTCTTTAACTACTTTTCTCAATGAAGGAAAACTCTTCTCTTTTAAAACTGAATATTTTTGCAATTAGTAATATACTAATCCTAGCAGTCTAGACAAAATCTCCAAAGTCCTTTGAGGAAGATACTCAATGCCAGAAATGGATATCTGATCAAATGAGTCTCTTACAAAACAAGATTAGGGTGTCTTCTGGTTTTATTTGTCTTGTTTTTTATCAGGGTGAACCAGGACCCAAAGGGGAGAAAGGAGATCGGGGAACAAGTGGAGAACCTGTAAGTACAGCTAAGTGTTTCTTAAGCTAGTTTTAAATTCTAGTAAGAAGACATGAGAGCTGCCTCTTTTGGAGAGAGAGTGTGGGACATGCTCTTTCCATAGTCAGGAATCTTCTCTTATCAAAAATAGCCACAGGGTTGTTTGGTGTTGGCTACACAGGAAGACAGATCACATGAAATTAAGCACCTAATTTTTCAGCTCTGTACCCTATGGCTAGAAGAAGAAGAGTATGGGAGAAGAGTCTAAATAGTGCAGTTGGCTACTCCATTTATATTTGGCTCTGCTCCTGTTCTGGAAGGAGCTCTCAGGAGAGGTAGAGAGCTGTGCAGTCCCAGCCTGCATAAAAAACACTCTCTCTTCTCTCAGTGTGAGGGAGGAATAACATCTTTTGATGAAGGGAAGAATTGAACTGTTTCCTTCAGCTCTTCCGCCTGTGCCTCTGTCTTTGCAGGGATTACCGGGGATCCCAGGTGAACAGGGTGTCCCAGGAGCTGTAGGACTCCAGGTAAGAAGAGCATAACTTAAAGTAAATCTTTGGTATGATCAGAGAGGGTTGACTTCATGGTGCATCTCACTGTGAATAATTCCTTCCCTGTACACCAACATCCCATTTCTCCTACATCGTTCTAAGTACAGGGACTACTGTACAGGTATTTGCTTATGTTGGACAATATGAGAAGATTCAAAGCAGAAATATGTGATATCTGAGGAAAGACCAGTATCATCTTAGGGTCTTCTTCCAACTTTAGGCTCCTTCACAAGGGCACTTGGTATTTGTGCCACCAAAGCACAGGTCTCACTGATAAGTTACTGCAATACATTAACAAAATGTTGCAGAGCATTCAGACTCAACCCCAGCTCACTTAACCCTGACAGCATTATTGCTCATGTTAAATGGATTTATAATCTTAATTATCTTCTGAAAAATTTCTGGCTCATGCACAGTATTTCCATGTACCACTGAGGTATGTCTCCATATAAACATAGAAGGCTATTTATTCTGTCTTCGTTTGTATTGCATTCAAGTCACATCTATTAGTTGGGGATAATCGGCAAATACTGCTTAATAGCAGTCTTTGCATCATGAAAACAGTCACACAAAAAAACAAGAACAAACATAATACCGTATAACTTTCAAGTAACATTTGCTAAAAGGGGGACCAGATCAATGGATAGACTCCATTCTGTCATGCCAAAATCCTAATGAAAGAACTAAGTAGTATGTAGGACCACAGCAAACTCACTGCACTGTAATCTATTTTGACCATTTCTAAATGATTATTAGTATTTGAGAACTGCAGGCAAAACTTCCCCTTTGCAAGGAGACCATCAGAGTTCAGCTAGGATGGAAGCATCAGGTTGGCCTGAGGATAGGAAGCAGCTTCCCCTAGATGAATGTCTGCAAGTTCCAACATGCAGTACAGTGAAATAGCCTCCGAGCTGATCAGTCATTAGTAATTCTTCTTATGTCTCAGGGTTTTATTTTTATATTTCATTTTCTTGCTGCATAGAGAACTGGGAGCCATTTCCTCAGCCGTTGAACTCCTCTGCGAATTGATTAGCTGAGTACATGTTCAGGCATCCTGAAGTCTATTTGTCTGGCAGGCATTCCCATCCCATCTCTAATCAGCTGGTGCTTCTTTTCCTCCTTCACAGGGGACGAAGGGGCAGAAAGGAGCCCGAGGAGAAGTTGGAGCCCCTGGAGAGGCTGTGAGTAGCTGTTCCCTTGCAGCATTTTTCCTTGGCAATAACACACCTAAAGGGACTTGGAAGTCCCTCCCTGCCTTGCTGATTCATGGTCCCAGGCTGCTTGGAAGCAGGGCACATCCTAATACAGCTGAAAGAAGAGTCACTGCTGGTGGGCAAACAAATGCAGCAGCACAAAACCAATCAATGCCCCAGTCAGCCAGCTCTAAGTTGTTTGTCCTTTTTTTGGATAAGTCTCCTTCTCTAACAAAAGCCAACTTTTCTGAGTGAAGTGAGGCAGAGCTTGCTGCTGCACCGTGCTATCAGCCCAGCCCAGGCAGTCAGCTGGTGCATGGAGTAGCTTCCCAGCAGCAGCCAGAATTAGTTTTTGATAACAGTTGGTTTTAGGTTTCGTAGTCAATTTTGCTTTCTTTAATAAAGTCTCATCACCAGAGGAATCATTATGTACCACTTTTTGAGGCCTGTATTCCACGGAGTGCTACTATTGTCTGACTACATGCTAAAGAACAGCTGAAGATTCAAGCCCTGTTTTATTACTATAGCAGTTGTATACTCCTTTTGTGTCTGAATAAAAGGCCACATACTTTCTTTGTAAGCAGAGAAGGAAAACTGAAGAACTCATTCAAGTAATGACTGGGAGAGATGATAATTTTGGAGTTTGAATTACTAAATCACTAAATCACAGAATCACAGAATTGTAGGGGTTGGAAGGGACCTCCAGAGATCGAGTCCAACCCCCCAAATGATGATGAAGACATTCAAGGTCAGAGTGGACAGGGCTCTGAGCAACCTGACTGAGCTGTGGTGTCCCTTTTCATTGCAGGGGAGTTGGGCTACATGGCCTTTAAGGGTCCCTTCCAACCCAAAAGATGTTATGATTCTGTGATTATATGTTTGTATATGGGAGAAGAAAGCCATAGGCAATCCAAGCAAAGAATCCTAGAGCACTGAGTTTCTCCTTGTGTCTTTGTGTTTATGATTTTCCTGCTTGGATTTGTGCTCAGACATTGTATTTAGCAGTGCATTGACCCTAGACTCTCAACTGCCTTTCCTCAAGTCTCCATCGTCTTTTGTTGAAGGATTCCTTAGTCCATGTGGAGAAAAGCAGCTAAGGGTGCCGCACTCCCTCTAAACCTGTTCACTGATTAGCATAACGTGGCTTGGAAAGCATTAATGATATGGAAATGCACACGTATGCCTTTTGTTTGCCATCCCATCACAGACTGCCGCTGCTCCACATTTCTTTTGACTCACATACCAGTAACTGCAAATAACACAGTAATGAGGAAACCTTTAATTCTCTTACAGTGAGCTTGATGGAAAGTCATCCATTTGCTGTGAATACTCTTCATAGTTGTGCTGTGGAAGATTTTCACAATCTCCCAGCTGTTTGTGTTGTCTCTCTGCAAGAAATTGCTACCCAGATCTTCCCATAGGAGGGGTTTCTGTATTCCAAGTCAGGAACATTATTTCACTTTGCCAGTGCAGATGTTTTTAGATAGTCTGCCTGTTTTTATCCTGAATGGCTTAGGAATGCTGATAGAAACACTTTTCCTTGTGAAGCTGTGACAGCAAGTGAACCCTGGCCTGTGTAGAGTGATGAGTAACTCCAGAGATAATGACTTAGGCTTGATACTGTCAGGCCTAGAAGAAAATGTCTAGCTACAGCTTGTAACCCCAAGCATATGTCTCTCTGGGGACATAATCTGAAAATATTTCCTCCCATGTCCCTCGTGCATGTTTGGAGGCATACATACTGAATAGGGCTGCAGATGAAAATACCTGTACTTCAGAACAAAAACACTCTGAATGATTTGTGATGCTTTTCTATCTAACACAAATGAGTATTTTTCAGGTTTTTGTTTTCAACAGAGCACATTTTGTTGGCCAAGATTTTCATTTTCATCTTAAATCAACTTACTTTTCTCTGTTCTTTTGATGTTTTGGGCTCAGACCTTTCTTCCTGAATCTGAGCTGGACTTAGGATTTTAGTTTGATGTGGGTAATTTAAGCTTCTGAGAATCTTTTTTTTTTTTTTTTTTTTTTTTTTTTCTTAATTTTTTCATGCTTCTTTACACTTCAAAGTGTTTCAAAAAAATGCTGTTCTTTTGCTTTGTGCTTGTACAACATCTTGTATGACATAAACCTCAGTTCCACTTAGAACATCTTGTTCCTATGGTGGTACGAGTTGTGAATTACATATGTACATAAATTTCACTTTCTTTAAAAAGGGTGCAGTTGGACCAGTGGGGCCTCCTGGACCAAGAGGATTGCCAGGAAATGTGGTATGTAAGCACCAGTGTATTTGTTTTCTCATCTGTGCCCTGGTCTCTTTATTTAATGTTTTGATTTTCTTCCTGTGGGGGTTTACTATCAGATTCAAAAGGCTGTGTTTCATTACACTTCTTTACTTTTTTGAATCAAAAGATGTGGAGGCACCTGGGAATGGTGTTTCTATGAAACGTATTTTCATATTCATTTGTAACAACAGGGAGGCATGGAAAAGCTTCACTCCTCTTCAAATTGTAAAAAAACATTTTTTTCTGCCAGCTCCTCAAGAGAAAAATTACAGTGTTTATTGTCTCTTTGGTTTTGTTTCCTTCACCTCATTTCCATTTGTCCTTTCCTTTTGAAAACATGACTATTTGATATCAAGATTGCATAGTAAGCTCCTATATTTGTTATGAAAATATGTAAATATTAGATCCTACAATCAGTGCCTTGAAGATGTACAACATCCTCTTACCTCAGTAGGTATTCATCACCATCATTATATCGTGCCTGACAGAGCTTTTCATGTCTGCACAGAAACCTTTAGAGTAACTCTACTCCCTGCTCCACCATTATAACTCTCTATTTAGTGCTTGGGATTTCTTTAGAATTACAGTAGAGTAAGTGAAAAACAACACTTAGACCTCAGGTTGAAATATGTTCAGGAACAATGGTTTAGCACAAAGGCTCTTGAAGGCAGTTTGTCAACTAGGCAGTCCAAATAATATCAAATTGCCTTTCTCCTAATTGTTAATCTACATTTCATTTAATTGTATTAGCACAATGATTTCATTTCAGATTGGAAGACGATATCTAAAATGAAGAATTTGTTCAATTTTACAATCCTTTAAGCAAATTTCTTTACCACTAATGCCAATATATTACTTATAAAAGCTGATATAAGTAAATATTTTTTACTGATATTTAAAAGAAAATAATCATCATGTCCACGCAGAGAAGAAGTCAGTCCAATCTTATGCTGCCAAAACATCATTTAATGTCTTAAAATGGAGTGCAACTCTACAATATTTACACATTTTGGTGTGTTAGGAAGCCACAGAGTTTGATTTCATCTATATTTTGACAAGGAATGCTTTGGAATCTGCCAAGACCTGAAGAGGAACAAAAAATTGAAATAAAGGGTGAAATAAACATAGTCAAGTATTCCAGGGGATGGTTTTGGAGACTGTTAGCTGTAAAATATGGAATACTGTGAGACTTTTGGCTTCTCTGATAGAAAGGAGTTGGAATTTGTTGGTAATGGATTGAGAACTGCTGAGGATTTCACAGAACAAAAATGTTATCAGTAGAAGAATGCACGAATCTGGAATTAGCTGCATTCCAGCTTTTGCTGTTCAGCTCCTTTTTATATCGAAAAAAAAAAAAAACCCAAACAAATTCAAACCTCATGTAAGCACTTGGTACACAGCTCTTCCGTGATGTTCTCTGGATTGTTGGATTCTCTGAACTCTCTACTTGTCTGCAGAGGAAAGCGTAAAACTCATAATCCTCATGTCTCATAATCCTTGAGACAGACCATATTGAACATACTGATGCTGGTCCATGCATCTTCTTTAGGATCAACTGCTGCCTAAAAAGATTCTAGTCTTTAAAGTTCTTTTCTCTTCAGGGAGTACCTGGAAACCCTGGACTACCAGGGAAGGAGGGAGAAAGAGGGGAAAAGGTGAGTTTGTTCTTACCTGGCTTTGTTCCTTTTCCTTGGGGCATTTTAAGTAACTTAGGACAGAAACAGCTTGAACTGGCAAATGATTTCATAGGTTCATATACTGCTAGGACACATGGACTCATTAGATTATCTCATCTGACCTATTCTATTACACATGCTACAAGGATTTCACCCTGTTGCAGCGTTATAATTTACCTAATAAAACTACTGAGGTACAACTGAATATGCCAAAGTCACTGCTACATATTTATACAATGATGATCTTCTTTTGTCCTCACCCTTCAGTACTTTGTGAGATGCTTGCTTACCACTTCAAACCCAAAACTGGAAGAAAAGCTTGCTTTTGTTGTTTAGGAGACAGATTTCTGCTTTTCTGGTAAACTACCATAATATGACCATAAGCTCAGCCATCCAATACACTCTTTCCCACCTATGTCTGCTTTGCCCAACTGTTGTGTTTTATTTCATATCTAGGCAATATACGTTTTCATGCCAGGGACTTGTAGTTTACCAGTACATTACAAGCAGCCAGCATGCCAAAGTCCTCATCTTTTTTTTTCTTTTTCTTTGCCAGAGTAGGAATAATTAATCACAAACAGGGACCCATGTATGTAGGATATAGGATTTATAAAGAAACAAATCCCAGCCTCCTCAGTCTCAAAGTGTTTTAGATTACTGACATTCATCTCAGCGCCATGTGTGGATCAACAACTCTCTCATCTAGTCAGTACCCAAAACATTTTGAAATGTTTTGCTTTTTTAAGGAAAATAAAATGCCCTGAGATTTCTGAAGGAAAAGGCTTCCTTTAAAAGAGGGTTCCCTATGTTCAGATGAGAAAGCTAGAAGAAAAGGTAGATCTTTTAGTCCCAGTGAAAGACCTCAGACAGGAATGGTCTTTAATGTATGGTTGACAGCTTTATTGGATTGTCTTCTGCAGGGTGACCCTGGAAAAGAAGGAAAAGTGGGTTTACCTGGGCCAGCTGGGGTGCCAGGGCCTCCTGGACAGCCGGGTTTGCCTGGCAAAGGTAAAGATGGAGAACAGGTAAGTACTGCTGGCAAGCACTGTGCTCGAGTAGCTCAGTATGAGCTTGACAAATGCAGCTTCTGAGGGAATGGTGGACTTCAGGTAGAGTGTTAGGTTGAGATCTCACGGATGTCTGCAAGACACATGAGGGCACAAAAGCCTTTGTTGTGTAGGATGTTGCAAATCACAGTGCTGTATCCAAAAAGGCAGAGAGGACTGAAGTTTCTGAACTGTGAAAGTGTGCCATCTTGGCCATCCAGAATGGCCTCCACAACAAATAACCATTGAACGATTGTTGTGACCATCATTAGCTTGATGAAAATTCCCTAAAAACATTTACTTCTAGCTAAGTTAGCAGACTGTAATCTGCTTACAAGTTGTCAGTAAAATATTTTTACCAGGATGGTGTAGAGCAAGGAAGGGGGGTGAGTGCTGGGAACTTGTGCTACCTCGCCTCCCTCAAAGGCCAGGCTCCATTCTGGCTGGTCAATGACTCTTCCCTGGTTTTGGTTATGTCACTTTAGGGAGAAAGAGGCCCACCAGGTTTGCCAGGACCTTTTGGACATAAGGTGAGTAAGGACTTTACTGTTTATTACAGACTGCTTCTTTCCACTGCTAGAACTGAATTTAAAGTTATAGTGAAAATATGGTCTGCTTTTTTATTTCACCTCTCTCAAGAGGAAATCAAATATTTTCCAGTGGGACTGGGTAGTTCTGATTTGCCCTCCTATATTGCAGCTAAGACGAAGACTAGTTTGTTGATTAAGTTAACAACATTAATGTCTTCAACTGAAAATGAAGTTTATTCCTTTGCAAATAGATAGCAAGTAAAGAAAGGAATAGAACAGCAATAGCATTTGCTTCTGGAAGTATTTGGATTGTGCTTGAGTCTTCAGTCAGATATATCAGAAATTCTCCTCTTTGAAATAATGACTGTGTCTTGATTTGGAATGTTAGAAAAATAGGGTATTGAAACAGGTTTTGTAAATGATTGGTACGAATACAGCAATATGATCGAAGTCCCATATTTTTGAAATAACCAAACTGCTATGAAACATTTTCTTTTGTTTTTGCTGCATCCTGCATAAATACACTGTACTCTGTTGTATATATCTTGACAGTTCAGAAGGTAGACACAACAATAGAGTGAAAGTAATATAAAATTCATAAGAAAAAAAAAAAACTCTGAAGGAAATCTAATGAAATACGTTGTTCAATATCAACACAAGACGTTAGGAATCTTAATTGTGCATGGAAAAATACTGTTGAAATTTTTGTACTGAAATTATGTTCTTGAACAAAGTAACAGATAAGGGATCTGCAGGAGTGCCTGAACTAATGAGAATACATTTTCTCTCACTGTCCCTGTAGTATTGTTTCTTTGAAATAGAAGATTAGTTTAAGAAAAAGAAAGGAAATAAAGTAGGAGATATTGCAGAATGAACTTGGGCCAGGTAGAATCCATGGGTAACCATTTTTCTATCAAGCTTCTGTACAGTTGGAAATAGTGTAATAATAAATAACATAAATAAGGCTCATTGTTATATGTCTACTGACAGAGTGAGACTGACTCTCACAACTGCAATATAATCCATAAAAAAATCTTATTTGATATTTCTCTCTATAACAGGGAAAGAGAAAGGACGTTAAATTTAAGTACTGTAACTGATTTTTTTCTTAACCCTCTATCTACAGTGCCCATTAAATAGCACCAAGTAACTGTCTGTGATCTGCAAATTTTAATGTTGAAAATTCATTTTTTTGGGAGGGAGATCTCTCTATTTGTAGTATAGTCCCCTAGGGAGAGTGGTAGAATGGGTTTTTAAAAATTGTTAATGCACTGCTGTGAACAAGCTTGTGTTGGTAAAGGAGAATATTAAGATGCATCCCAACTTCCTAATTCTGTCTTCCCTATATAAATAATATGCATTTATCAATGCTTGCAGGTTAGCAAGCATTTCTTCACAAAAGAATGTGAAGAAAGGAGAACACTTTACTGTGCTTAGTGTTTGCCCAAGCTACGGGAAATGCCTCATATTACCCTGCTGGCAATTGCAAATGCAAGTGTGAAACTCCATGAAAGCAGATGCACTATTCTTCTGAAATCTGATGTTCTCAAATTACTGCAGTGTGTATCAGACATTGTAGCGTATGGAACTACTGTTGGAAATTGGATGCTGTGTGCTAAAATGAATTAAAATACTTGTGGAAGCTGTGTTCCTTTTCAGTTATGTGATGTGGCATATGCTGACGTGGTGTCAGTGCTCACAAAGGTGTACCCCTCTGAAGTAGGGAGGCACTTCTCTTGGCAGGACACGACAGAAACTGTGTTGCCACAACCTGATCCCATGTCATACTGGTCAGGATCAAGGTTGTATCAGTGTTATGTTCTGTTGGAAAACTGTGTTGTATTTCAGCACATTTTCTCTGCAGTGGACAAAGCTTTTAAGTTCTCCCTTTATTTCAGGGTGAGAGGGGAGCTCCTGGCCTCCCTGGACAGCCAGGAGACAGAGGTGTGCCAGGAGTTGGACTGGCTGGACCACCTGTAAGTAGCAGGAGCTGTTGCAAACTGTGATGAGACAAAAAGTTAATCTTTAAACCGTCGCCATCTGGAGAATGGGCTCCCTGTGCTCACCTGTGCCCACCTGTGCCAAGAGCCTACAGCATTTCACTCTCTGAAGACGCACAATGCTAGCCCGGAAGCTGCCATTCATGGATGCCCACAAGTTTGTTGTGAGGGCTCTTGATGCATTTGGTTTTAGTTGAAAGAGAAAGGCAGAAAAGTGCTATCAGAGTGATTGATGCAGCTGTCTGTTACTTGCGGTTTTTCCGCAACATCTTGACACAGTGGCTCTGAATGGGAGCTGAGGTCTGTGCTGAGTTACCAGAGTTAGTTTAACAGGGAGATGTAACCCTGCTGTCACCTTATTAGGAGGAATGACGGTGACACGCATGTCCACATCAGTACACAGTACTCTGATAGGGAAATATAAAATCAGATTAGTTAAATCGCTGCCTTCCAAGAGAGCCATTGCCTTCATAATTTCCCTCAGAGATTAAGTTACATCTGATCCAGCTCTGCCATCATCTCCTGCTGTTGTTGAAGTTCTACAATTATTAATGGGCATGAGATGTTTGTGGGATTTGTTCCAGAAAGTATGATATTGTTGGGATTTGATCATCCCAATACTTAATATGCTCTTGAGATCAAGGGGATTTGAGAGTGCTCTGACTCTGTAGCCCTCCTGTTCCACTAAATGCATAAATGAAATAAGTCTAGAAGGAATCAAACTTCATACCTAGTTAAAATTGCTAGAGAACATCAGAGTCCTTGCAGCCTTTCATATCCCCTTATACATGCCACGATACTGTACCAGCCAAAGCCAACATTTTCATGCTCTGATTATCTGCTTAGGAGTTTCTCAGTACATGAAATTATTTTGAAATGATAATTGATATTGCATGATACTGGCTAATAAATCTAGCCTTCTGGGGTGTACTTCCATTTAATATTTGGTTTTACCCTGCTGAATACTCCGTATAGTAAAGCAGATGGGGTTGGTTTCATAGCACACCATGACCATATCATGGCTATCGTGGTGCTTAACAATGGTATCAGTGATAGAAGATTCACGGAGTGTTACTTTGCTATGATTTAGATAAGGAACAGTGATGTTGGTTGCGCTTCTTAAGGTTTGGTCATTAATATTAAAGTTGAATTAGAAATGAATGACTTCTTTGAAAGACACTAGTATTTAACGTGTATTTATGTGACTAGTATTTAATTAATGAGTTGTAGATCCATTACAGGGTTACCTGAGTTCTCTTCTGCACTCTTATGTACAGAGGAAGCCAAAGTTATTGTCACGGTGTTGACTAGATCAATCTATGTCCGTGACAGGGGCGGCAGGCCTCTGCCCTCCCCCCCAGCCCAGTCCCACAAAAAATGGGAAGGAAGGAAGGGAGGAAAAGAGCAGCGGCAACAATCTATGGAGGAAAACTTATTTTACTAGAATATTGGAATACAAGATAACACAATATATACAAGTTAATTGAAATTGAGATTAATAAATCAGACAATATGAGAGAGAGAGAGTTCCCGGGACCGATTCAAACCTGAAAAGCTTGGAACGGCCAGGAAAGCACCCTCCAGCACCCACTGCAAGGCAGCAAGAGAGTGCCCCCCCCACCCGGAAGGGCCAGATCTCGTGACTTCTGTAACGTACAGGGATAGGTACTGCAATTAGGGCAGTGACACTTTAATGCCCCGTACACTACATGATGTTTTGATGTGGAATACTGAAATCCAAAAACAAAAAAACAAAAACAAAAACATAGAACCATGACA